TGAAGACGGCGTATCGTTTCTTGAGCTTCTTGCCCTCCTCCTTGGCAGCTGGCAAGACCATGGCCAGGTAAGGTCCATCCACCTCAAAGAAGATGGAGTTCTCCTCGCGAATATCATACGTGGGTTGGTTATCCTCCTTGTCCTTTCTCAACTCATGGTACTGATCGTTGGTAAAGTGATCCTTGACCATCGTATTGAGCACGGCGTTCGGATAGGATATGTTGATCTTTTTTTTCTTTTCGTGGCTGGTCTGGATGGTAAACTCCTGGGGAAAGGAGCCGGGCAATATACACCATATACCATCTGTGTCCAGCTCCAGAGGACGACCCACTCGCTCGATAATTTCCCTCGCCTTGGTGATGATATTCGAGCCAGTGAGGCACACGATGCCCGCCATGGGCATGGAGTGCCAACGGGCTCCTCTTCTCATCACATAGCCGTAGAAGGAGTTCAGGATGCACTTGTGGGCCAGCTGCAGGGAATCGTAAAGCACTTCCCTGCCCTTGGCGGCCTTGATCTCTGCTGCATCTCCGGATGCCACAGCCGCATTCACCGATGCCTTGGCCACCTTGGTGAGTCCCTTGTACTCGTAGCGCCGATCTCGAAAAGCACGAACCGTGTCCACGTAGAAGCTGTTCTCCTTTTGGCAAATGGTCGAGTTACGGGTCTCCAGTTTGGTCAGCTTGGTTTTCTTGTACGCCTTGCGGCAGTAATCCGTCAGTCGCTTCTTCTCATACGCCGCCTGATCCTCCTTGGAGAGCTCGTGGAAGGCACGCTGTGGTCCGCCCGGAAAGAGTGGCGGAAACTTCTCCGTCTCCAGCTGTTGCTGGATGCGCTGAAACTCGTTACGCGAGGCGGGCAGCATCTCGCCGCGCCACAGCCAGTCCATGGAACGCTTGCAGCGAACTCCCGGCTTATTAAAATCGCAGGCGGCGCAGTCCAAGTCACTGACCATGGCCGAGGGCTGCAGGCGATTGGTCAGGATAATGTTGGGGTACATGGCACCCACATCCAAGTGATAGATGACAGGCTGCTCCAACCGATTGGGTATGTCGTGCAGACCCTGCAGTCCCTGGACAATCTCCTGTCGCACCTCATCCAGATTCAGGACTTTTTCCAGGGGAATACCCTCCTCCACTTCGATGGCGTGCCGCATGACGGCATCCACCTGCTCCTGGAGTTTCTTAATCATGGCGGGATCCAGCCGGAATCGACAGGGTATATCAGCACGAAAGACGCCCGATTCCAAGGCCTCCACATGACCACCGACGTACGTCTCCGAGTCCAGGACGTGGCCCTCGTTCGAGAGCTTGTTCAGCTCGCTCTGGTGCTTGTTGGGATACACAATCTGGGCGTGGTAGGCCTCCACCATCAGCAGAGTCTCGCAGAGAGTGCCGGAACCCTTTCGCAGGATCTCGTCCGGTTCCATGGGGATAATTGTATTCAAGGCAAAGATAAACGGATGCACGTACTTCATGTACAGATAGTAAGTGGCCACGGCATCCGACACGGAATAGTTGGCCAGCACCTGGGGCTGCTCCACCGCCATGCGGCACATGTCCTCCGGATCGAGCTCTACGGGATCGTAGCGCAGCTTCGCCTTGGCCACTGCCTTCAGGCCTTGGGAACCGACGGGCAGATAGGAGTCTCGTTTCACCCAGCACAGGCAGTCCATGTGAATGGAGGGGCGACTCAGATAGTTTCCATCCCTCACCTTGGAGAAGCCGATCTCCTGCTTCATGTCCAGGTCATAGACAGCGGCTCGCGTCTCCACGAAGGGCCAATCGAAGAAATCGCCGTTGTAGGTGACCACGATGTGCGGCCGCACCTCCATGATGTGGTCGAAGAAGCGCTGCAGTAGCTGCATTTCGTTCTCCTCGTTGAAGACCACGAAGTTGCCCTCGAACTCCGGCTTGGGGGTGTACTCGAAGTCATCCACATTGGAGGAGATGATCTCCCTGTTGGTGATCAGGTAGCCCTGGCCATCGATCATGTACGAAATCATCATAATCTGATCCGTCTGGGCATCGGGAAACTTTAGCGGCAACTTCGTAGTCTCAATATCAAAGGCCAGCACCACGGGCTCGGGTCTGTCCAGGATGTCCGGCCGGCAGGTGATTGTGGGCAACTCCACGCCGCTCCTGCATCGGATGTTGTACCACTGGCCGCAGAAGATGCGTAGATCAATGGAAACGCGCACGTGGTAGGGCACATCGTGCTCCCGGATGTCCACAATGCAGTCCAGGTAATCCTGCTGCCGCTTGGCCAGAGCGGCGTCCTCGGATCCAGCCGAGGATTGGGCCAGCGAGGTGGCCAGCATCTGCATGTAGTAAGTGTTGGACTTCTGACGCTCCTGGTTCCTGCGCACAGCAGACATCAGTTCCCTGCGCACCTTGGTCATGGCGGTCTGGTTGAGAAAGGAGAGCTTAATGTACTGCTGCTGCAGGCCAGACAGGTGATTGGGCAAGTCCAGATCCTCTTTGCTGATGTGCTCCAGGCTGGAGATCTGGCCGGAGTACTTGCGACCCAAAAAACGGGCCACCTCCAAGTGCATGTTGTCCTCCGGACGGACCAGCAGGTACGGCTGATACGCCACAGTGCACTTGAACCGCGATCCGTCCATTTGGATGAAGAACAGATCCAGGGCGGCAATGAGTCGCCTGTCCTCATCCAGTACCTCGTTCTACGGAGGGAATACCTTGATTAACCTGGTCTTTGGTGGATTTAAATGACCATCCGACTCACCGAATGCATGTTGATGAGGTACCCCGTCCGTTCCTGACTATCTTTAACCCGATCGAAGCCATATTTCGAGTCGATCTTGTCATTTTCCCGAGATTGGCGATAGCCAGCCTCGTTGAAGAAGTCGTCCCTAAACAAAAGATCAGAAAAATCCACTGTGACGCTGGGATTTTTATTAAAATGATAGCTTACCCCTCCGTTCTGTTCTCGCTCACGAATTTCCCCGTGTTCTGGAGCACTTTGGCTTTGCCGAAATCAGCCATATTGTTGCTGATTTGCGAAAATAAATAAAAATAATAGTAAATAACAATTTGCCGCCAAAAATGAAGTGTGACCAGACCGAAAACATGCCACAAGTACAACTGGTAACACTAACGCACTAATTTTACAGTTTCGCAACACTTAAAGATTTCGAAAATTGGCGGGCTTGTCAAACAATTTCAAATTCACACATTTATTTTCTTCGTATTTTAATTTTAAATGAAGTATATAATTTTCTTATGATTTTTCTAAATGATTTCATTAAAAAACAATTTAATTGGAAAGCTAACAAATTATTCATAATTAAAAAAATATATATCTCTTATTTATTAATAGAAATTTCTCAAAATATATATATTTTTTTGCTTTGCAAGATTATTATTTTATTAACAATACTAAGCAATAACTTATAGATCTTTAAACTTTTTTAATTATAATCCAATTTTTATAGAACTAAAACTGTAATTTTAAAGTCACAAAATATGCTCATATCTCGTATTAAGAATTATGTTAAAAAACAATGAAGCTATAAATTTCTCAATTGTTTCTATGACAGCAGGATGAAATGGTCCGATTCTGGCTGTTCTGACTGTCCAGTATTTCCACATGTGGCTTGACCACTTGAGTTGAGTTTTGCCTGTGGAACATGTGTGCTGCTCTGCGCTTTTCCAACTTCGGAAATGCTCATTTTCTTCCACTACTTCTCCCTCTCTCTTTCGATCGCTCGCACACCAGAGCATTCATTCATAAAAATCCGGCTCACCTACACGAGTTGTAAAAATGCAGCACAAGAGGCAGACTGAAGGAGAGACAGAGACGGGGGGAGAATAATCAATGGGGCTGCTTTTCGAGCTGACTTCCACTTCGCTCTCTAAGCACTTGTCGCCCCCTTTTTATTCTACCTTTGTGGCAGCAATTAAATTGACAATCAGCAGCCATATTTGTTGCACGTGTCTCGCTGTGTTTCGTTATGCAAGGCTGCCTCTGGCCAGGAAAATCGGGAATCGCGCTGTATCCCGAATCTTATTGCCCCTTTTCTGTGTTTTCTGGGTGCAGCTGGTTGTTGCTGCCGCCCCTGCACTGGCATCCACTTATGCTTATGCTTATGTTATGCCTGTGTGTAATTTATGCGAAATGCGTTGCCAGAATATAAAAACACCATCACTCTCTCCTCTCTCTCTTTCTCGCGTGTTCCCCTCGGCACACATAAACCTGTTTTTGTTTTTGGTCTGCAGCAAAAAACGATCGCCACTCACACCCACACTACAGCTCACGCACACTATCGCACATACTACACACAGTTCTGAGGCAGCAGATTTTTTTTAATTTGTTGCTATTTTTTTGTCGCAGCCAACACTTTGTTTTTGCTGCTCAAAATATGTAATTCTGATTTTCTTTATTTTATTTTTTGCGCATGATGCACGCTCTGTGGGTGTGTGTGTTTAGTGGAAAATCGCCCACGCTCGCTGCTCTTTCAAGTGGATCGCCAGTGACAAAGAAAAAATGTACATAATAATTATATAGCGCGAAAAACTCTCGATTTTAATAATTTGCGATATTTTGCGTTTGTTATCAGTTGAGTTCTTCTTCTTCCAGCGCTCCTCCTCTCTCTGCTGTTTATCGCTCTCTCGTGCTCTCTGGGGCGCTCACTCGTCGGCTAGTGTTGCCAGTTTTGATCGCCATACAAGCTAGATTTTTAAGAAAAATAAGCTAAATATTAACAAATTGTAAGAAAATACGTTAGCCAATTGCATATGTTATTATTTTAAAAATTAAATAAATGGCAAATACAATTATTTCTAGAATTAATATATAATATTTACCTATACATTTGCCACTTCAATAGACTTTTCCATGTACCTTTATGTATATAGTATATATATACTATATACTGATCTCTAGCGTGAAATAAACTAACATGGCAACACTGGCGTCGGCGTCGCGTTGGCGTCGGCGTTGACGCTGCGTCGGCGTCGCTGCCGCCTGTTGCCGCTTGTGTTTTCGACATTCGTTCGCCGACTCTCTTTCGGGCTGCGTGCATACATAACGGTTAATGTTAGTATTATTGTTAATGTTAATTTAAATAATAAATAACAAATACTAAATACTTGCTAGCAAAACAAAATAGAAAAACCTATGAAATGATTTTGCCAGTGTTCAGTGCCTTTGTGTGTTTGTGAATGCAATAGATCGCGTTGTGAGAATTTGATTACAAATCGAAAAAGAATCCAAATTACTTGTGCAAAAATATCGAAGAATCCAGTTGAAACCGCTAAAAAACCGAGAGATACTTGGCCAGAAATCATCTAGAAAATGCCCAAAAACCCAAACCCTTGAAATCTATATCCAAAATCCATCATAAAACCACAAAAATCTCCTCAAACATCGCGTGTGTCGGTGCGGTGTATTTGTATCTGTGTCTGTGATCCGGCGGCCTTTTTTTGGTCTCTTTCGTTTCGCGTCTTATAAGCCGAGCTGCTAAACCGACATCCCCGTCCCGTTCTGTCGGACGGAGTTGCTCCTTTCGTTGCTGCTTTCGTCTTTGTCTCCGGCACGTAATCTCTCCCTCTCTGGCCCTAATCAACCTGCTGATCCCACCGGAGGGTTAAAGCACACAAACGCACACACGCAGAGGGAGTGCGAGGGAGATAGCCATCGCGCCGGACTCCTGGCTCGATCGAGATTGTGCGCCTAATTTGAAGCTGTAATTAATTTGGATACCCTAATAAAAACCCAACTGAAAACCCGAAAAGATCAAGACTAAGAGCCCCAAGAATCCCCCGCACCTTCTGTTTCTTCTGAGGGGCGCTACTTTATTGCCCCGCACCGGTGAGTAAACTGAGCTGAAGTGTTGAAAACAGTAGTTCAAGTATCTTTTTTTTTTTTTGTTATTTTCCCCCATGTAAACCCTTTTCTGGCGCAAGTGTGTGTGTTGCCTGTTTTCTTGAATGAATCTAGGAAAAAAAACTGGTTTGGCTACCGAGCGATTCAGCGATCCCGCGATCTCGGCTCGATTCAGGATTGCGCTGGCTCTATAAACTCGTTGTTGGCCAAGACAGAATTTGAATTGGTTTTCTACCTCTCTTCGCAGCCAAGTTAACTAGCTTTCTGTGTGTGGTGTGTGTGTGTGTTTGTGGACTTCCACAACCCTTGTGGGAACGCAATCGAAATTACTACTGTTCCTTTTACAGCTTCCGGTGCTGCCGCCACAAATGAGCTTGAATGGCCTTTGATCGGGATCCGATGGTAAAGTTACATGCCTAGATTCCCTTACCAACTCCGTAATCGAGAATGTGTGAACACAGGCATTTGGGTTAGAATAGAATAGAATGTGGACCAACGAACGCATTAGACAATTAAGTATCAATAAAAATGATACGAAACTGCCACTCTTTTTCGGTTTTCGAGCATGGAAAATCAGAGGGGAATCAATAGGAGGGACCAGCACCGCATAATTGGGATATTCCTGTCTGAGTCTATACTTACCTGACATCAAAGGATTATCTGAATATAAAATTAAATTGACCCCTTGATGGGTATATTAAATAATTGTAGAATATTCTTAATTTTAGAACTGTGGAATCTTCTGGAAAAATTATCTTGTACCTGATCATCTTAGCTAGGAAAATGAATCACACTACACAGTAATTGTTTAAAGCCATCTTCAATGAATTTCTAAACTTTTGGGATGTTACTTCTTACTTCTTTCTCTCTATATTTATTAATATTTGATTGTATAAACTAATTTTTTTTTTAGTTATGCTGTTTATTTAATAGTTAGCTAGATCACTTCTTAACAAAATTACCCCCTTACATTTTCTAAATCGATAATTTGCTGTGTAACGATCACTGAATTACGATTAAACTCAAGACTTAATCGTTTTTCTTGCCTCTCGAAAGACGTTTAAAATCCTTATGTCCACAACAATCAATTTCAAGCTACAAAAGATACACAAGGGAATGATAAGAAATTATTGCCATAATCGATAATTTGATCTGCGACGATCGTTGGATCATAATTGAGCCGCGTTCAGCCTCCCTCGGTTCCGTCTCTCCATCTTTCCCTCTCTCTTCTCTCTTTCTGTCTCCCTTGAAAGCAAAGACCAGTTCAAGATCCTTTTCCATAAATACCCACAGACAATTACAGTACAGTGAATCTTTGGGCTGGTTCGTTGCCCCATGCCACGTTAAACTCGGATTCTGCGTCGCCGCGTCCGATGCTAAAAGTATCAACCTGCTGCAGACAGGCCGAGATCGAGATCAAGATCGATCCCATGACAAGACAGATACACAAGGCACTCACAGATACATACAGATGCAGATAGAACACATGTGCGCAGGCAGGCCGAGAGGATCATCGTCGTCGGATCGGAGAAGAAGGTCCCTTCAACTTCTTCTCTTCAAGAAAGGGCGACTCTAAATGTGTGTATTCTACCGTTACGTACACACCGAAAAATTGCACCCCTATTCGGTTTGCTGTCTGTCTGGCCGAGAGGAGTGTGCACCATATCGAAAGATGATCATATTCGTTTACAATCTGTTCCTCGAGCATCTGCTGTGCCCAGACTCCGGCTAAGACCCTCACGGAGGTGCGCTACTCCCGCTTGGTCCACTTACTCCGCCCTCCCAAAAAATTGCTCTTTTCCAGGGAAAACATATGCTCTGCTTTTCGATTCGTGTGGTTTTTTGTTGTCGCCTGTATTTTTCGTTATTTTTTTTTCGTTTTGGTTATCTACGTGTGTCTGGGCGATAAGGAGGTTTGTGCCGATAGTTTGGCGATTGCGACTCTTTTTTGCTAACGACCGAATGGTTGTTTTTTTGGTGCTCTGTCAGCTCTAAGCGCTCTTCAAAAGCATTTGATCCCATTAATAACTATCCTTTTGCTTGCCATTTTTATGTGATTTTCGTTTCATACACAACTGAACTTTCCTCCCTATCGATCGGTCAGTGGGGAATTCACTCAACGATAACAATGATTTGTTTAAAAATGCACAATAAATCGTGGAATTCGCCTCTTACCGATAAGAACAAACGCCGAGTTGAATGTATATAATGATTTAAAAAGTAAATAAAGCAACAGCTTATCATGGTGGTGAAAAGGTAATTCCCCTGGTTCCAATTTATTTCTAGATTCTTGATGCTAAGAGCTATTAATTTAAGTAATTGCTAGTTAAAGTATTTTTTAAATGGTTTCTACATACACAATTATCTACTCTTAAATAGTTTATTTTATACCTAAACATAGCCTATGCCATTTTCTTTCCCAGTTCAGTCTTTGCTCAGAATTCCTGTTCCTGGGTGCAATAACATTTCAAAGACAAATTATGAATATGCCACATTTTGGCTTCCCTCAGCCACCTAAGAAATCAATTAGACTTGCCAAAAAGTTGCCAATTATCTTGGCCACTTTTATGCGTCAATAAATTATTTTCGTGTGAAAAGCGCATTTAGTATTTTTACCATATTCAAAATTATATGCAGTCTCTCGATCTATATATATCCGCCACCAAAACTACATACATACATTCTACATATATGTATGTATATATATTGTGTGCAGATTTAGTAATGTTTTTTCTTTGCGGTTGCTGTTATTGCTGTTCTACATTGAATTGATTGCACTGGGGCGGACGGTGGCAGGAAAACTAAGAGTAGCGAAATAAATCAACTTTTTGTGGAATTTGTGGAGCATTTGGCGGCGGCAGTCGCTGATTTTATTATCCATTTAAATGTTGATTAACTTAAATTCGTTTTTAGTGCACTCACTTGATCCGCACACACAATTATACATATATACATATATGAATATATATCGGTTAGCGAGCGTGAATACATAACTGTGCTGCTTGACTGGGGCGTTTCAGTTGGTCCAGCAATGAACGAACGACCACGGACAAAAATCAGCAAATCAAATCGAAATTGATTTCGCAAGAGTAAAAGCTCAAATTTATGCAACGTTTTTTCATTGCTCTGTTACCCTGACACAAGAGGTATTCTTTTTCAATCCCAAAATTGTCTGTTCATTCAAAAGAATCTTACTAATTCAGATACTACTAGATTTCATGAAAACTTTTTAAATAGGAAAATGTTGTAGCTTTTGCAACATTAAAGAAAATTACTTAAAATATCTGTTAAATACATTAGCAAACCTCAAACTCTAAAAGAGTGTTTAAATCTTCGTTCAGAACACGAGGGTTGGTTCTTTCTTTTCTCTATTTTGTACTTTATTTTGATTCAGTTAGATCAGCGGGAATATGGCGGAATTTCTTCAACCCATACTCACTCGCTTATGTATATATAGGGTGGATTTACATATGTGTCTGTACACGACTGATAAGGCGGCTAGATAACTGTTGGCCACACACTCGCCATGTGCCAGAGAGAGAACAAGACAAAGAGAGAATGAGTAGGGAATCGAGCAGAATCGTCACCGATGCGACGACAGTATCCACACATTTGCATAACGTATCTAATTAGGCGGCCAGTGCTTAAAGATACTCCTCAGATTTCCCCTCAGATATGCATATATATGTATACTGGCGTGGGGCGATAAAGGTCGAGATGCGGGGGCGTATACCGCAAGGAATACATCTATATCAATGATAACCTATGACTTAAGTCGAGAATTGCCAATAATATATTTGAGTTTAACCTTGTAAAATGATAAGGCAGGTAGGAATAATGAATCATAAAAAAACATGGGTTGTTAGTGATTTATAAGACAAAATAACCACCAAATAAGTTTGTAAAGATTAATTAAATATCTAAATTCTAAAAACATTCAAAGCAAGAGTCTAAGGTTAGTGCTCCACTTCTTTAGCTTTTTATTTAGTTGAGTTATCTGAATGCCTTTTATCATTTAAACTGAATTTAAGTAAATATAATACTTAATGCGTAATTTCTGGACTTTATCGCAGGGCTGTGGTATTTATAGTGGCATCGGGGCAGCTTCAGTAACAGCTACTGAACCCTCATATGGAGGTCATTGGGATTTCTTAAGCTGCTCTTTTCTGCTCTTCGCTTCTCTGGAAAGCCTTATCTTGGCCACTTCCGTTGATAAAATTCCCTTAGACTTATTGTTGTAATTATTATGGATTTGAGGTTGCTAGCATTAAACAAATTCGGATTTAATTGTATGCCGATTTTAAGTGTACTTGGAAAATGAATCTTCAAGCTACAAACTCAAATTGAAGAAGGCTTTGATAAGATGAATTTCCCATGAGCTTGTATATTATATATAGTCCTCAGGTTACATTTGAACCTGTACTCTAAAAATAAGATCATTTTCAAAGGACAAATCTTTTTATTACATAACCACAAGAGCAATTCAAAAATACATTTCCTCCCCAGCAAAGCCACTAATTGGGCAATCTGGGAGGCAACCTTACCAAATTCGTGTGATCTTCACATCCGATCTCTTTGTGGCGACACTTCAAAGTAACTTTTCATGTTTCCTTTGAGACTCGCATCACATCGCATCGCTCCACGATGATCAACCGGTGCTTGGCCAGGGCAAATATTTGAGAGCTCGAAAAGAACGAAACCCATTAGAAATATATTTAGAAAATTGAAACCCTTTGACTCGGCTCTGTCCTCCGCATATGATGGAATGGATGCTGAGTAAACAAAATAAAAGCGTGCTCGTATATGCAAACCGCCTCGTCGGCTCCTTTTGTTGTGGCTGTTTTAAAGGTAGTGGCGGACACGTTTGATGTTGCACTGATGGGGAAAAGTGTCATAATTCCCCGAGTCAACAAAGTCGGATTGGGCCAAGAAAGAGGTGCGAACTGTGCGCCGGCCTGGTACAGGGACTGGGACTGCTAATGGAGTGGGAGGTGCCAACGAGGTCCAATAAACCTGGCCGGGGTAACAAGCCAATAATTGAGCGATAATTAAAACACCTCACACCACCTTGCTCAGTAATAATTGCAGTGATTTGTTTATTGAGCAGACCGCTAATTGTTTCTTTATCTTTTCTCCGTTTCTCCCCCAACCAGATGCCTGCGCAATATGGAATTGGCGATTTGTAAGACGGATCTGTCTTCCACGAAATTTATGCTGCCCCCTGCCCTGCCCGTATCCGCCGCCATTGGAACCTCATCGGCGGACACCTCAACTGTGGCCCAGTTTGATTCCTTCCTCAACGCTATCAACGGGCATTTGTTTAAATCGCCGCCCAGCCATCACAATCTTCATCATCACCATCACAATTTGGCCAGTAGCTCGTCGATCCTGAGCCACCATCACAGCAATAGTAACAATAACAGTAATAGCGGTAACAGCGCGGGCCAAGTTAGCAACATGAGGATGAAAAAGAACCGCAAAGTCACATTTCTATCCAGCCTAGTTGAGGTAAGTGAAGGAATTTTATAATTTGAATTAAGCTAAGCTTTGGTTAGGCGGAAATTTCGTTAGCAATTGGATATTCCCTACTTCTATTCAGATTAAATTATAAAGGATAAGTATTCTGCTTTAATTTAAATGTTTTTTCAATAAATAGAGGAACCCTTCAACAATCTTATATAAAAAGTATCTAAAGTTCGGCTAAGTCACTTAGCTTCTTCAAAACTAGGTAGCGAAGACTGCACGTCGCTGATCGACAGCTGCATAAATCTATAATTTCTATATATAACTACGAATAAGCGAATTTGCTGATCAAGTGATCGATAGCCTGTCCATCGGTATCTATGCCAGTTTGACAGCCACTGCAGTTGGATTATTGGTGCCTCAATGACAGCGCAATCGATTCCCCTTTCGCGAATGCAGGGCACGTAAATCGAATTCTAAATTTGGTAGACGAAACAAAACGCAATTATTATGTATTATGCTTTGTGGCTATACTACTTATTCGCCACTTCCAACACCCTGCAAAAGAGGGGGGATTTTTATAAGCTGAATTTATAAAATATTTACAGCCACCAGACGTCGAGCTGTCACTTGCGATCTTAGAATTGATTTTAAAAGTGAGGGTGTAGCCCATTCGTTTGCATTCCATGGGAATCTTTTGTGTAAACAATCTTTTGTTTATTTGCTATAAAAGCCATAAGCGTGCCACTTGGCTTATGACGCATCTCTGGATAGTAGACAAAAGGCATGATCAAAATTTGGAATATGTAGTTACGCCTTGGGAAATGGGGACCACGATGCAGCGTAACCGAACCAAAAAAGTCAGGCAGCCAACAATGGAGGAACCCAATGATCGTAAGGCTTCACCCAACGCAGTTCCTTGCTTTTCTTTTCACTCTCTGTTTTAATATCCTTTCATCGGGTAAGAATACTTTTTAAAGTTTGTTGAAAGTCTGAAAAAGAGGATTTCTTAACTTGAAAATAATTATGGAAAATGGACTGGTAAAAATACTTATATTCTAGAAATCCTCATATATTAAAGCGAATTCTATCTACCATGAACTTTGAAGTCTCTAACGTTCTTTAAAAATTATTTATCGAATTATTTTAATTTATATTCTCACACCAAGAGTATTGAATTTTCGTTTTAAAAATCAGTCCTTCCTTAATTCCTTCACTCTCTCTGAGGATTTTTTTTTTCGTGTTCCACCTGAACTTGACCAGATCGGCTGTCAGCGGTCCCGAGTGATGGCATTTGACACATCGCCTGCGGTAAGCATATCCGCTGGCCCGCCAAGCCGTTGACCACTTTCATCCGGTTGGTCGGGGCCAACGGCCAACAGGCTGATCCTTTCCCCCCCGCACAATCCCCGAAAAGGACATGCGCATGCTCAGTCGGTTGGAAAATGCAGCCAGGTAATCCGATCCCCAGTGTCTGGCTAGGTCAGAGCCAGGTCTTGGGTTTCCACTCCAGCCAGCCCTGCCACGTAACTGAAGCTGAACGAGAATCACTCAAGCTGGGAGAGAGCGCCTGTGGATCGAGGTGCCCAAATTGGGTTCCAATTCGAGTCAAGTTGAGTCGAATATTGTGGCTAGAGGGATTCGCTCACGAATTGATTACGATATTTACGGAGCATTTCGTTTGACTACGCTGACCTCCATTATCATTAAGCGACACACATCCAGCCTCCTCTCCTCTGTGTGTGCAAGTCAAACGTACAATTCAATTTATTAGATCGCCTCCAGCACGATGGGACATCGCCACCACATCGCATTGGGGCAGTCCACTGTCAATTGCCGGCAATCTATGCCACGACTCTCTGCTGGCTACGGCTCTGATTATGCCCGAGTCTCAGTTTTACGTTACACTTTCCCGACGAGGGGCGCACACATATGTATTTATTCGTATTTTGTAATTGGGTAAAAGTGGCTTGTTTATAAATGTGTACAACACAATCATGAATGCCTTGTTGACTGCCGATCATTATAGTGAAGATGAGGCGGGGAATGGAAATAGAATAGTCCAGCAAGGGGGAATAACAAATGATTTATATGAAGACTACTAGGTGAAATACATATATAATAAGGTGGAAAATAAACAAAATGTTATTTGCTGAATTTTAGATATATGATATTTATTTGTACATACCTAGAAATATATAATAAGCTTGTGTTTTCGCTACTTCTTACATAACATCAATTTTGATGATGGTTCAATTGGGGAAATCAATGAATGATGAAATTTCAACGTAGTTTAATTGTAAACAAGTATTTAATCTGATTTTATAATCAAGAATGATTAAAAATATAATAAGTTAGAATAAATAGTGAACATTTAAACTTTTAATGTCTTATATTTAGGTATAACTTTACTAAGATAAAATCAGTTAACTGGTTACTAAGCTATCCAAAATAATACTATTAAAAATATTAAAACTCCCTTAAAATGTAATATCCATTACAGTCCAAAAACATCTTTATTAAGGATGAGCCAATCAGCGGCTGCAAGGATCTGCCCATCTGCAGTTTATCGGATATTTCAGATCATGAGGCGTCGTTGGGTGAGTATAATATAAAGAGCCTATTATTATCATGACAATACATTGTGCGGATTGTTTACTTTGGCCAAGTGCTTAACCCATTTGCTATATCGGTTTCGTATTCTTTTATACGGTTTTTTTTTACTCTTTATTTTTTGTTGGTTAAATGGCATTTCGAGGTCTGGCGAGGCTTTTGATAACGCATTTCCAAGAAATGGAAATAATTGAAGAGCAAAATGTTGTTGAAAAGCAAATGTTCAACCATTATATAGTTGTGGCCCTATCTTGACTCATACGTGGCTATATATCTATCCACAATACTGGGAAAGATTACTTTTGTTTATATATAAGTATGTATGTATGTATGTACTGCATCCATCACCAATGGGGCCTGATCCCCTTCGGGGTAGATTAGGAGTACTTACTTGGTTTTAATGAAAGTATATTATTCAGAATGGCAAAAAATGATAGAGTATGAAGTTTCCTATAAATATACTATTGAGATATTCCCCAACATTCTAGAAAATTGCTAAATGTGCTCAGAAGGACATATTTCAGTCGCCGAAACCGAACATAATTTGGCTAGTTGTTTTTGCGACTTTATTATTATTTTTTTGCCTTTTGAACTGGGCGATAAAAAAGGCAAAAAGTAGTCAGAGGCAGGGGGCTGGAACGAACCAAATAATTTGGCGATAAGATAAGCTAACAAAAAGCGTGTTGCTGAAAAAGAGAACCGACGTCGAAAAAAATAAACCTTGCCGAAGAAAGATATTTTGCCAGGTTCCCCCAGAATGGGTGTGTGTGTTATAGCAGCATATCGTGTGCATTTATTATAATGTAGTCAATGGAATATACATAATTCCCTCGCATAGTTGGGTTCATATTTCAGGGAAAAGTCACGTCGTTTGCTTCCGGTGGGCCCAGCCCCCGACACCGAGCTATAGGCTCCTCCTCGGCGAAGGCAAAGTGCCAAGCGAACTTACACAGATTCATTCAGTCACTCAGCCACTCATTCATTCATTCATTCATTGGCTCCTTTGGATTCTTCTCAAAAAAAGAAAAAGAAAAGAACGAACGAGATCTTGCTGTTGAATACATTTGCATGGGAAATACACGAAATAAATATATGAAAATGTGCAGTGCTACCTAAAATGCCGCCCCCTTTCAGTGGCTGCTGCTGCTGTCAATCAGGCAATACGTCAGTCACTCACTCACTTACTCTGTCAACTGTTCGTATACGTAATGTGACAAACATCGCTGCCGTTTTTGTTGCTTTTCCCTAGCATATGTCTAGTATACTTTAGCTATTATTACACGCACACTCTGAAACAGCTTCATTTGTACGTTTGTTTTTGTATCGGACAACGTTTTATGGTAATTTGTTATGCATCTTTTGCTCTGTTGTTCACGAACCGAGAACAATGTACGAAAAATGTGTTAATAATGGGAAATTCTCGTTGTTTTTTTGTGGGTAGCACTTAGGATATGCAGATATCGTCAGTTCAAAGCTTGATGTCGAAACCAAACCAATAATATGTTGTTAATGCAGGGAACTTCCGAGGTATTTATTTAAAGACAAGTGTATTGTGTTTGTTTGTATATTTTTTCGGGTAAAAGCTGAAGCTAAATACAATTTATAAATTAAATAATACAATTTTTTATAGTTCATAATTGATACCAACAAACTGATCTGAAAAAGTAGGGAAACATTTGGTCCTGACTCTACGTAAATATATCTTTGCATCTTTGCATCTCTCAATTTCTTTTTTTTGTATCTGTATCCGTGGCACACATCGAACCCAATGCACTGCCCCAGCTGTCCAAGTCACTGGCAGAGAAACGATCTTAAAGCTGTTTAATGTTTATAAAAACAAATAATACAAATCTTGCTGGGGATTCAGTTTTTTGCTGCGGCCCAAAACGGCGAGGCAGCCGCCACCGAATGAAAAGGAACCCGAAAAACGTAAAAAGTATTTATGTATTTATGTCTTATCGCTGCGTAGAGATCAACAAAGCGCAAACAATTTCAATGTCAACGCAAACCCAAGACTAAAGTCAGTGCCCAACTAAATATACAAATGGCTAGTGTACACTGGGGTGGACCTGAATGGTTTTACGTAAACGAGTAAAAAAAAAAAAATATTTTTAATTAGCTTTAAAGATGCTTCTCAAGATAATCACTCATACGTAGTGTTGTCTCTGTTTTTCTGTGTGTACAACGTGCTTTCTTTATAAGCTCATAGCCTATTAATGGTTTTTAATAAAAACAAAAACCTATTGCGTAACAATATTATTAATATTTATTACTCATACGCAGTGTGGACTTAGCTTTAGTTTTTTTTTTAATACTTTCCAATTGATTTTATGTGAATAATCCGATAAGTTTGCCCAAGCAAGCTGAATTTAAACGGATTGCTGAAGATTTTAAAGGATTTTTTTAAAAACTCTTAGTTTACAAGAGGTCCACCCTACTGAGCCTATATAAAGGTATGTATGTACAATTCTACATGCGTTGATATGTATTAAGATACATAAATATATACCTACATATGTACATACATAATGTGGGACCCGAGAGTCCCTTACTGAAAACTGAAAACGGCTGGCAGCATGAACTTTTCGCTCGTCGCTAGAAGATCGCGGCCATAAAAATGGCAACAAAAATAAAAAGGGAAAAATAAAATAAAATCACGAGAATAAAAACAAAAAGCAGAGAAAACATGCAAAAACGGCGACAACTGCGCAGATGCTGAATGGAAAATGGGGATACAAAAAATACAACAAAATAAAAAGGGGGAACATCCATCTCGGCAGCAAAAGATCGGGAGGCAACACGTAAATTTAGTTTACATTATGTAGCGAGGCTGCCCTTATTTTAATTATATGCGCACACAGATGCCCGTACAGTGAGCCTTTTGAAGGGGGATCGTTGTGTCTTATTAACTTTTTGCAAAAGGAAGGGACTGGTTGCTAAGATTTTGACTGTATTGACAAAAACTAGATGGACAACGAGATGACTAATATTGATATCAAACAAGTGTCACAGACTAAAAGATATTCACAAACATTACAAATACAGTATAAACTATTCCCTGATATGTATTTGTTGACTGTATAGAGTGTTTTCTGTATGCACGCACACTCGCAACGCCTTTAATCATCTCTCATTAATCATAAACTTTGGAAATAACAAGAAACAAAACGAAATGAGCGAAACGAAATAATAAATAAAGCAAATTAAATTTTTGCTTATTTAATATGAGCTATGATTTGTACAAAAAATATTATTAAATTCTCAGAGAGATATTGGGCTCCACCAAAAATGAGGGAGAGAGGCAAAGAGCGATAGAGTGCTCCTGAGAGAGTGGGGCGTCGGCGCTGGCGTTAGCAGCGACGTCAGCGTCGTGAGCCCCACAACTTTCATTCATTTTGACGCTCATTTCATTCATCCCAGCGCAGTCGACGTCGAAGCCGACGTCGCTGCTCGCCAGAGCTCCCTCTCTGTCTCGCTCCATGGCTCTCTTGGGGCTCTCTCCCAAAGAAACACGTTCGTTTTCATTCATACTCGGCCAGGCAACAACAACAAAATTACTAGCTGGTTCTGAAAAAGCAAAGCAGCTATGGAAATAAAAAAAAAAATTAAATAAAAACTGTGGCGGCTTTGAAATGCAGTTGATGAATGGGGGGAATATGGGAATGAGAATGGGAATATAAGGCAGCGGCGAGTGGATCTTGTTTGTTGGTTCTTCTCTTCTTTTTTTGTTTTTGTTTTTAATTCGATAGCTGTCTGTCCATCTCGCTCTGCCATTCGGTATATGCTGATGCTTCCTCTGTCATTTGGGGCTTGACGTTTGTTTCCTTCCTTTTTTGCGTGTGTGCTGCTGCGCCCCTCTTTCTTCCGATCTGCTCCTTCTCACTCCTTGTCCATCTTCTAGGCTGGTTCCTGCAAACCGGCTTCGATTTCTTCTCTTCCTTTTCTTCTTTGCTTTGTCTTTTGGGGTCCCTCTTTAATCGCTGCTCCAGCTTCTTCTCCTTCTTCTTCTTTCTCCTGCTGGTGCTGTCACTAGCTCTGCCCCTGCCCGTGGGCGCGTCGCTGACTTTGGCTTTAATTTTAACTGCAGTCGATGTTGCTTTCAATACCCTTTCCCATTTTGTTATCTCTGTTCTGATCAAAAGTTTTCGAAGTTTTCAGTGAATTATTTCCTTTATTTTAAAAATCGAAGTTTTCATTTTTTTTTTTTTAAGGTTTTTAAGTTTTCTGAATCGTATATAATATAAAATTATAGGGGAGAACGAACTAAATAAGTGTAGAAAACTTCGGCTTGAAAAAGTTTGTTTTTGTCTTCCCTCTCCATTTGTTTTTACTGCTTGTTGTGTATTTATTTTGATTTTTAGCTGTTCGCTCTGAAACCAACTTCTTATTTATTCATAATTTGAACTCCCCCTTTTAGCCCGCTCCCCGTGCAGATCCCCCATCTGCAGCCGCCCCTGACTCCACGCACAATTTGTGGGCAGCTGCCGCTGCAAATGGAAAAGTGGAAGTATGGAAATATGTATGGAAAACTGGAAAACGAGTTGCCAGCAAACAACAAACACACACACAGTTGCTCGTGTTTCTGATTCCAAGTTTTTTGTTTTAATTTCAGTTTTTGTTACCTTTCAAATTTCTTGTTCACAGATCTTTTTTCCTCTTTTGCGGTTGTCGTTGGTTTTAGGTTTTTTTTTGTTTTTTGGTTCGTGGAACTGCTGCGTTAACAACTTTTTTGGTTAGTGGTGTTGTTGTTGTTCTGCTGCTTCTACAATTTTTCATTCATTCATTCATGCATACGCACACACACTCACTATTTGTGATTTTCGTTTCGTCGTGTTTGCTTTTTTCTCGCCTTGCCTTTTTCGCGGCTCTTAGCTGTGAGTGTGTGCGTAAGTTTCGCCTGATTCTGTTTTATTCATTCATAAATTTTTACAGCATTTGAGGTTTTTATGAAGGCATAATTCGCTGCATTATTCGATTTATTTTGGGT